AACCCAACTCTATGCCGCTTACGATAAGAAACTGTCCAAAGTACAAAGTGTCACGCTTGATGTGCTCTTGACTGTACATGATTTTTACATGGAGTTATTCCTCTTTAAGCACTACAGAGAACCTGCAAAATTTTGGTTTTCATCTGAAGTCTTGTAGTTGTTAAATTCACATTTATCCCCAAACTCCAAAATTACCCAGCGGTTTAATGACACGCCGCTCCGCCCGCTGCCCCGTTAGTCGCCATCGGGCGCTTGTCCCGCGCTTTCTCCGTTCTTATTTTATTCACATTAGGTTATTATAAGCGTGCAGATTGAGGGACACCTCACCTCCTAAAACCTAGGCTACAAGCCATCAAATACCTCGCCATAAGAAACGATCACTGTTCACCTAAGCTACTTACCGCTATAAAGCTTTTAAGAAAGCATAATGTAATAGTTAGAACAAATCGCACTGTTAATACAATAGCGTATTAACTCAAAAAGTGTATTTTGTGTCAGAATCGACGAAAAACAAATTACTCGCTTCCCATGAAAGATAATGAAAATGTATGTATAGGTCACAGTTTATTACAAACAAGTTCCTGTTTGCCAAATATATTTAAAACGAAAAAAGAGAAAAAACAATTTTATATTTTTGAATACTATTTTGGCCAGAACTAGCTCACATAAAGCGTGTCTCATTTTGAGTTAAGTAGATATCTTTAAGTCGTTTCTTACAATATCTAAAGACAGTTTTATTGACGATAGAGGATCAAATTTAAATAATGGTATAATTTTGAAATTCACATACACATAGAGTTATAACACTGTTGGAATAGCAGTGCGAATAGTTAAAAAACTTTTTATAAAAAAAAGACGGAAAAAACTGGATTCATCCCCTAGTTTGTTAGCCTTAGAGGTGGAACATTTTCACCAAATTTAAATAGGATCAATATTCGGGTCACAATGCCTCCTTTTTGAAGTCGGTTAAAAATAAGTTATAAACTTTAAGTTTTTATCTTCATTAGGTCTACAGCAATGTTGTGACGTTAATACCTAAGTATCAAATTACCTAACCTAGGTCCTAACTTAAACACTAAACTGTTAAATGTCTAGGTTTCGAATGAAGCACTTAAAGTGGTGACTAAATTGCAGCAAGTTTGCCGGTTGACATTTAAAATAATTTTGGTAAATTAAATAGTTAAGTTAAAAGTGACTTTACACAGTCAATTTAAAATTTCCCTCTTATGATTCGGACAATTATTGATATAAATAATGATAAATTGATATAAATTGATATATAAAACAAGTGATAAACACCACGAAATCTTGATAATAATTGGCCGTAGTTTGTAATTTAAAAAGATGTAAAAAATTCGGGATTGTTAATATAAATTAAACTTTATCCAGTCGCCATATCGTTGAAAGTTCAATATTATTATTGCGACATTTTGATTTATATTGAAATTTCATTCAACGTGCTGCCATATTGCGGCCAGTAGCTGAACTACGACGAAAGATTAACATCAAAAATTTATAGAAATAAGATTTATCGATGATATGAAATAGTACTACAAGTGCGGCAATCATTTTTGCACTCCAAAACAGTACAATAAGGCATTTTTCTACGACATTAGAGAATTTGCACGAAAGAATGACACAACCATACCGTACTGACTGAGCTAAAGTAGGTCTTTCGAGACAGTCAGACGTTAACTGTGGACATGGGCAATGATACAGAGAGAAAGGTACTAAGGAAGAATAGATGGAATCTATCGAACAGAAAGAGAAAACCAACGAGAAAGATTTTTTTATAATATGTGACGGGATGTCACCTAGTGACGGGAAGAACAAGTCGTGCGCCTTGTGGTAAGCGACACGCCACTCCATAACAGATGCAGTGCCAGTCAAAGCTTTAAATCGCAAAGATCTTAGATCTGAGACATAAGCCGACAAATCCCATGTGCCTGTAATTTCACCAGCACCCTTACCCTTCAAAACCGGAACATAGTAATGATCACATTACTGCTTGCAGAAATAGGCAAGGTGGCAGTGCTTCCCTGGACAAACTCTGTCACAAGGAGCTACTAAACAGGTTGTAACCGATGAGGTATTAGTGCGTTGACGGTTTGCGTAACATTATACAACGTCTGCCTGCGTCGGTCTGGCCGTCCTCAGTCAAATGATAAACACGTTGCTAAAGAATGTAGAGGCTATAGTGACGCAAACTGTAAGGATTTGTTCACATTGAACTTTAGTTCTGTAGTTACTTAGCTAATTAAACATTTATTCAAAATACCTCATTATAATAAAGCAGTAATCGTCTTGTCTAGAGATGTGGTAGCCCAAATGTTGCTTCACAATGAAGAGGTCGGTAATTCGAGTCCTGTAAAAAGTTATGCATATTTTTTTTCGCATAACAGTCAAATTGTTGAATAAGTTGAATATTCGTGGAATCACATCTATTTGCTAAATTTTATTGAAATCGGTTACCGGAAAGTGTGCGAAACTGGATTCCTCCCTTACTTTGCCACCCTTAGAGGTGGAAAATTTTCTTCAATTTGAAATGGAATTTTTGAAATTTTTTGAAGTTAGTTAAAAAATTGAGGACACACTCTGATTCATATACGACGTGAAAACACAATTCCTAAAAAATTTCACGATAGAAAACAAATATAAAGTTACAAGAAAACCGCTGTATCGATTGGTACTTTACTTATACCAATGATTTTTTTATATCAAAAATATAACACGTGAATCTATTACCATATATGTACATTTTTCAAATGGTTTTGATTTCGATTTTAAGACTTTCGTGGTTATTCACTAAATGATTACCACTAATATCAGGTTTCTTACCACGGTATGACTTCTTTTTATTTTCCCGATATTTCGGAACGGTTGCACGCTCCATGGCCACGGGTTGCCATGGAGCGTGCAAATAGAATTAATTCAGTAATAAATCCAGTGTCCCGGCCGCTATACGCAAAATGAACCGTATTAGTACGGGAAAAATTTGCTTCTCGCTGAGATTGAAGGAGTACTTCCATGAAACCTGCATAATGTCGAAGAAGGTTCATGGCTAAGTCCCCAACGGCATTGCAAAAACTTTATTCAAATCATTTGTTAGATAGCTTCTGCGTTTAATATTATAAAAATAATATAACTGGGTGATAAATCTTTCATAGATTTCTCATAGATGGCGCTACGACTAAAAGGTCGTTGAAAAACCAAATACAAAGACACGACGCAAGCACATAGAAAAATTCTCGAAGTCCGCTGGTTCGTTCCGTTGCTTAGTTGGTATAGCGTCTGGCACGGTAAACTAGAAGACGTCGATTCGAAGGATTTTTTTCTGAGTGTTCGGATCTTTGTATTAATAATTATTACAAAATAAATATCGTTATTGATACGAGTGACGGGACGATCAAATCGTGCGCTAGGTGGTAAGCGGCACGCCTGTCCATAGCAAGCAGAACTTTAAAGAGGGATATTTCAATGCGACCCTACATTTTAGGCAATCCGCGCGCTGTAAATGAATATGAATAAAATAAGAACAGGCGGAGAAAATTTGACACAGCGCCCGATGGCGACTGACGGAGCAGCAGGCGGTGCGGCGTGTCGTTAAACATCTGAATAAATTGCAAATTTTGGGACAAATCTGAATTTAACAACAAATAGCGCTTCAATTAAAAACCAAAATTTTGCAGGTTCTCTGTTGTACTTAAAGAGAAAAATATGGCCATATTAAAATGATGTGCAAAGATTTATTAATTAAGATATAGACTCTTATTTTACCCTATTTTGGGACTTTATAGAATTGGATGTAGAAAAAGACATTTAACATTTCAATTTGTAACAGCAGGTCGGTGACCGTGCTGTTAAGCCAACTGCATACAATTGCAATTGCAATAGGAATCTCGCTCATGTGACTGATGCCTTTGATAATCAAACCGATGTCACTGTAACGGGTTCCAAAGATCTTGGTTAAGCCATGTCAATTAACCAGGTAATATCTAATGAGGATCTTTCAAGGGCAAGGTGAACTTCACTATAAAAAATTGTATAATTTATTATTAATGATGTCTGTGTTTTAATTGCCGTTCAAATACAAAACAACATTGTTGAACATAGAACATCACATAAACTCGTAATGATATAGCAATAAAACTTCATTTAAATTAAAACAACCTCTAAAGTTACCGCCTGTAAGCTAACATTTTTTTATATGGCGCAGAAGCCTGGACGGTTAAAGTCGCTGACAGGCAAAGAATGGACGCTTTTGAAATGAGGTGTTGGCGTCACCTGTTAAGGATTCCCTGGACTGCACATCCGTGCTTGAGGAAGTGCAGTTGAAAAATCACAAACGCTTATCTTCCGTCTGTTTGCTCCGCATTCTGCAATTCTTTGGACACATTGCGAGCAGAAGCGCTGATGGTCTCGAGAGCGTGATTGTTACGGGCAGGATAGAGGGCAAACGACCTAGAGGTCGAAGTTCGAAACGATGTTGTGACCAGGTGTCTAAAAGTCTGGCAGTATCAGTGTTCGTCGGATTCCACCTAGCCAAAGACCGAGTGCAGTGCAGTGGAGAAGATTGATTGAGGGTGTACTTACCCAAAGTCACAATACTCAGCAATTAGGGACCGACAGAGGAGAAGATGGATAGTTGGCAGATTGTCCTGATTGCAGCATCACATCAAGAATGCCATATTATTATAATCCAACCTAGGATCTGCTATAAATTAACCGCCTTCGTGGCCAAAAGGTTATCATTCAGGCCTGACACGCAAAATCCCAGGCTCTATTCCTTGGCCGGGAGAAATATTAATATGGCCTACATTTATTTCTCTCGTAAATTTCGGTGTCATTTTTAATTGTTTTTTGTGTGACCATAGCACCCGCGACACAGGGTGTCCCAAGTGCGGGGCTATGTCAGTGTGTGCGTTATTTATTGGAGGAAAGTGTTCTTGCAACATTCAAAATAAGACAAGATTTTAATTTTGTTTCTCCTTTTTCACCAGCTCACCTCGCGGGCAGCATTATGCATAGCCTGAATATCTCCCTTATCAACCCTGGAGAATGCCAAGCCAAGCTACAGCAGGACTATCCCCATCTTCTGGAGCAATACGACCAGGAAAGCTGTGCTTGTGGCCAGCCCACTAATCCCGTTAACAATATTTGCAAGGTTCGTAATACATGATACTTAGTCAAAGATCTCGAAATTGTCCTTGACATGTCGCATTTGGTAATAAACTATTTCTTCGGATTCTTCCTCAGAATTTTATTGCATGCGTGATGAAACCACGTAGGCAACGGTTCGCCGACTATCATTTGTTAATGTACATAGTAACTGTCTTATGAAGTGAAGAGCTTGTAGAAGTATAGACTCCGATTTTTTTCCACGATCGGTTGCTCATTATCGCGGTGTGCCAGTTGTATGGCTTGCCAGGAGTGCCGTTGAGGTGTTCTATCTGACCGTAAACAAACTTCGGGCTTTTATAGGTTCCATGGTCACATGGTCGTCAACTAGTTACGTCTAATATTAATGCAAACCACCTTATTCTGAACTAAAGTAACAACATCGAGTATATACCAGAAATAGAGACGAAATAAGGGCCATCCATAATCGTAATTTTTCAATTTTCGTCCTAATGGACGCTATATTGATGCTATAATTAGCAAACTCAAGTCAAACTAGTCGATTTGAAGTGAAACAATTGACGACACCCCCGTCAGTCGTTTCTTTTTCGGGCTTGCCAATCGGAGCGCAGTAATCGCCGTAATGTTTTGGCAGACAAGTTTTCAAACAAATTAAATAATGTTTCGTCTCTATTTCTGGTTATATGATGGATGGAGAAACTCAAAGTTGCCAACTGGATTCGAACCCAGGGCCTCTGCTTAGAGGCGGTAGGTCAAACCATTAGGCTACCAAGGCTTTCCATGTTTCTATGGTATGTTGTTTAAAAGAACTAAAGATAGAGGCTCTTGCAAAAGATAGTACTGTTAGATCACGTACTTGAAGTCTTACGATAACTAATTTTATTTTTCAGGTTGACATTGGTAGTGCGTTGGCTTGCACCACGGGAGATGGACACTTTGTACTACGGGGAGTTTACTCTTGGGATTCAGGTTAGTAATCTACAATATTTTAAATAACCGAAGTCAACTTATAGCCTTGTTTTGTGGGTAAGATCTGCTAGAGTATAGAAAATGACAACCTATCAGATCTCTCATAGCTGACGGCTAACCACGTAAGGCAAAAGACAGACTGAAACGACATTTTCTTAAATGGAGATTAGACGCACAATAAGGGGAACCCAAAATTTTAGTTTTCGGGAAAAAAGGATGACAATAGTATTTTTATTAATTCCATTCCTATGCCGTACGCGAAGAAGGAAGCAAAGCGTTTCGTGCAAATGGATGTTAAGTCCGTGACATAAGTCGACTGGAAAACTTTCTTTCTTTCTAATTCTGCAATTAGTAGAAATAGTTGTTGAAACAATAACACTGAAAAGGTTGAACAGACAGAATAAAATTCGACGTCATTCACCGTACAGGGAGTTAGACAGCTGGTGTTGCTTTGGGTGCACCGAATAGAGTTAATGAACAATTTATTTCTGGACTTCTCTTTTACGTGGTCATAAGCGAGGTTGCCTCGCAACGTTAAGCTGAGTTAGGTCACATACCTCACACGAAGGCGCTAAGGCAGAAACTGTTTTACGAAATCCTGTCTTTAATAGAATCCTTATGATTGATAATGTTTGATTACTACCTGAAGACCACCCGAAGCTTTTTGGTTAAAATTTCGCAGCCACCATGTTGTTAATTGTCTGAAATGTAAGGTGTACAATGTTTCTAATCCTGGCTTTTTTGTTTTCAGGTTGTCAGCTCGGCAATCAATTGGCAGCATTCTACAAATTCGATCTAGAATGGTACGAATGGGCAATTGGTTTGATCGAAAGCGCTAGATTCGCACAATACAACTCAGGATCCGCCTTGTTGTCCCAGAACCGATTTGCACAGATCAACACTGGTCTTAAAGGTGGATCTTTCGCTGGACAAAGTTCTGGCATTAAAGGAGGATTTGCTGGTGTCAAAGGTGCAGCTTCTGGAGTTAAGGGTGCAGGGTTTAGTCAGAGTGGTTTTGGACAGGGCCAGAGTGGTTTCGCGCAGGGTCAAAGCGGTTTCGGACAGAACCAGTTCAGTCAAAGCCAATATAACCAGTTCTCTTCGAGCGAAGCTGCCAACGTTGGTTCTTCAGGTTTCAATGCTCAAATCAAAGGGCCTATAACCAATAGTTACAGTGCCTCGTTTGCTGAGAAAAAGGTGTTCCAATCTGAACCCAAAATCGTTACCTTTACTACCAAGCCCGAGATAGTGACCTTCACGACGAAACCAGAATATTTCACATATACGACTAAACCGAAACTTGTTACCTTCACTACAAAACCACAACTCATAACTTATGAAACGTCAGGTAGTGGCACGAATCCCCAATATGTAGCCCCTGGAGTGACCTTCAATCCTTCTTTTTCTGAAGTCGTTGGTACTCACCAACACAGTGCCAATTGCAAATGTGTGGAAGGAAAGAAGTGAATTTAGTAAATGTATTGCCTGTAAATGACGTCATAGATGTAAGGTTATATTTTTCATGTGTTGTACTAAAATGTACAATTCCTCATACAAATTCAGTCAGTTGATAAAATACACGTTGAAAAAATAATGTTTTTTTGGTCTGACGTTATCGTAGTTTTTTTTTGTAGTCAAAAATATTGATACCTATCTATGACGTTATTATTGTAGGTTTTTACTTGCTTTCTTGTACTTTTAAAAATGTTTCAAAAATATTATGTCAAATAATTAATATGGAAGATAATGTGCCATAATTTGTTTTTCTTTTTTTCGAAATTTTTTAATTCAAAGGAAAAATACTCCCGGTTTTCATTCCAAAATTAAAAATACTTTTTTGTTTCGAAAACATCCTGTTTTATATATAAAAAAACACAAAAGTGTAATATAATGTAAAACATTATTTTTAACTTTGTTTCTATAAACAATAACAATTTTATATTCCCACGAATTCTTTTTGGAATGGACTCCGTTTTGTAAAGCATAAATTGACATAAATCCCGTGTTGATATAAAATAATTCATATGACAAAGTACTACAAATCTTTAATATACTAAATAAGAAAAGTTCTCACGCTGGGGTTACTATTAAAAAAAAACAAAAATTTTTCTAATGTTTCGACCGAAAAACGATATTTTTATTTATAAAACTAAATTCTGTAAATAGATAGGTTACATTCTATGATCTATGCCTATTATATATAAGGTGCTAACGAATTAGGTACTCATATTTCTAAAGTCATTTTGCATCAGAAGGATCAATTTGCAAAGACTACCTAATCAATAAAACTTTTTATACTTTAAATATGTATTCAATATTTTATTAATTTGTTTTCACACTACACACACTTATAACTGTATGTATATATTGCAAAGATTATGTAAGTATTTATTCGATATAAGAGTACAAACTGCAATAACACGATACACACATAAGACATAAGTATTTACGTAGTTTATTTTATTTTCTGTTTCGGGGCGCATACGTCCGTCACGCTCACTCACTCGGCTAGGGCCCATTGAAAACCAGCGTCACAATCTAGCCTTGGTTGTGACTTTAGCTGAATGGGATCCTTTTGTACACGCCACAGCCGCACACATTAAATGCTTTTACGCTGTTGTGTTATTTCTGTTCTAGTTAAATTAGTCTTTCTTTTTGTGTTTTTTTATAGTGTGGCGTTAGAATAAATGGTTACTATTTCTATTTCTGTTTTTATGTGGACATAATACATTTACTTGTTTTTTCAAGTAATGTTTTAGGTTTCTTTACAGGTGACATGGTCAAGCCTGGTTGAAAGGTTAGACTAGGTTAGCTGTGTGATGATTGTGAGACCTGTAAAAAACGCCCGAAATTTATATACGAAATGACGCGAAAACATTAGAACTCAAATTCACCACTTTTTTATTGAAATATTGAAGTGATCAGTGATAGTTAAAAGGATTCATAAGATAACATGGAAGATGTTTCCATCACTAAGGGATATTGTTATGAACAGTAGTTATCTTATTTTCTTAAATTTGTCGAAGAACTAAATTTGACAATGAGACTTATGGCGATTATATTACTTCAAAGTAATTGTAATGAGGTAAGTAATTGTGGATCTAATGGCATCAGTGCCTAATTTATTAGCACCCTGTATGTACCAGTGACGAGGAGCTCATATGACACTTTTCTCAATCTGCTTGTGTGTGTTGCAAACGTCAGTGATCCAATTGATATAATGGTGGTACACAGTTGGTAATAAATGATTATGAATTTGGAAAGAAAACTTTACCTAAGTTCTAATTCACTTCTCTCGTCAGTCGTATAGGGAATTGCTTAATTGGAGACCAGTTATAGAAAGGTCCTTTAGTTCACATTCTTTGATTGTGCGCTCTTCGTCATTGGTATATACTTATAGAGTTTTTTAATGTGTTAATCGTACTCATATTAATTGGTTGTATATTTTTATTGCTTTAAATTCAAACTGCCACATCATCTAATGTTTTATTTTTCTTTATAGCGTGTATACATTTTTTAAATACCTATGTGGTATTGCAATATTTTTATATATTACAATTAATTATATTATTTAATTATGAATAGCGAAATACGTATGTTTTATTAATAAATTTTAAGTAAAAATTTCAGTCCCTAAATTAGAAATTTGGCCATTTTGAATTTTTAAAAAAGCACTCAAAATGGTTGACTGTCTAATGAAATTGGTTTTATACTTTTTTAGGTTTAAGAATTTTTATAAAACGTAATTATTATATAAAAATTCGATTTTAATTAAGTATTTAGTCAATATTTTATGTATTGATACCAATTTATTCTGTAATAAACGTTTATTATTAGGATAAATTAATTGAATTAAAAATGGAGGTATTTTACGAAAGAGAATGCATTTTTATTTCGATACAAATTTTACCTAGAGACGACGAAAATCGACGACCTCTGTGTCGCCATCCCTGAGGTCCCGGGTTTGATCCCCAGCCGAGACAATGTAGTAACACTAATTTTCGTATACTGCCTCGGCTGAGGGTGTTTGTTGTATCGTCGTCGTTTCCAATTTCCTTAACTCAAGTGCTTAAGCTACTTTCTTTGGGATCAAAACAACGTGTGTGATGTTGTCTAATATTTATTAATTATGTTCTGTCGTAATGCGAAGCTCAATTTTAGTCTTTATAATTTTGTACACTTGGTACCTATAATAAACCATATGCGGTCATACTTGTGATCATACACAGAGGGTTTATAATAATCTCAGTACAGATTACTAAAAATTGACCTCAAAAGTTCATGGTATGTCATGAAGTGCGCGAAACCGGATTCAACCCGTAGTTTGCTACCCTTGGGGGTGGAATATTTTCTTCAAATTTAAATGAGACCTACTGAGGTGCCCTTTTTCAAACAAAAAAGAATTATCAAAATCGGTTGACAAATGTCGGAGTTATCGCGTAATATATACCTCTGGATCTCCTTTTTTTGAAGTCGGTTAAAAAGTCATAGAAACAACATGAAACAAAAAGTTGCGGCCCCATCTACTCCACTCCACTCATGAAATCCGTACCTGGTCGTGACTGCCTTGATTTGTCGCCGTGGTGAAACAAAAGAAAGGCAACAGCGCCTATAGTTTTATGTAGATTATAATGTTTAAAATTATTGTTTGCTACTAGTTTATTATCAGGCATTTTTTTATTCGCCCCTTTTTTCCTATATCTATGATGCCGCGCCGCATCTTTCGTTCATAATTCATAATTCATAATTCATTTAATCCTTTGTGATACACAGTTCGACATGAACATAGCGCCAAGTAAAGTTGTTATTACAGCTTTATTCTTTTATTAATAATATATTAGACTCATTATGTTCCTGAAACAACATGTATTAACTGAAATTTTATAACTTTCCTCTAAAAGCATAAGAAAAATTCCCTTTTTTGTTACAAGTGAATTTTCCGCAAAGTACATCGCCAAGCGATTTATAAGGAAACATTTTTAAACCTTGATGATAATAAAATTATATTTGAAGGTAAAAGTGGATAAAAATTTAAAGGTAGCGCCATCTATCACAAAATAACAAAACTACATTAAACTTAGCTAACTTGCGAGTTCTTTCAATGCAACCAAAAGTGTCATTGTTATATTGAATTCAACTGAAGCAGTACAAGAAAATTACACAAGATGTCGTTAGTAGTGACAATATAATGGAAGCACTTTTCATATAATAATTAGAACTGCATAGAATGTAAGAATTAATAATATAAACATGGTGGTAGTAATGTAGAATATACAAATCATTATTAAAATTTATGATTACACTGGTATTGTGAGAATAAAATTATTGTTTAGTAATTATACACAAAATCTGTACTAATTTGAAAGTCGATAAATACAAAATGAAAAATCCTGAACATATTACTTTCTTCATTTTATCTATTTTTAACATCATCAACCCATTTGTACGTCCAACTCGGGTGTTCTTTCAGACAAAGGTTTAGGCCATAGACCACCACGCGGATTCGGGACTTTATTATTATTTTTTATATTGCAAAGGTGGGCCTAAAGGCCTTTGAATAACTCATTTTACTTTCTTAAATATTAGTAGCAGTAGATCTCCTTGGGAATTCGCCCAGAGAAGTACTGACACCTCAATTATTTCTACCGCCAAGTAGTAATGTGAACATGAAGCTGTGTTCCGAAGTTTTAAAGGAAAAGGTGCCTGTTTCGGAAAGGGTTTTTCAACAAGAACTTAGTTTTGTAAAATAAAACAATAAATTTAGATGACAATGATAAAACTTTCATAGATTTCTCATAGATGGCGCTACGACTAAAAAGTCATTGAAAAACCAAATACAAAGACACGAGAATAGGCACATAGAAAAATTCGTGAGGTCCGCTGGTTCGTTCCATGGCTTAGCTGGTATAGCGCCTGACACGGTATGCTAGAAGACGTCGGTTCGAATCCGGCCGGATCTAAGGAAATTTTTCTGAGTGTTCGATCTTTGTACTAATAATAACAATGATTGAAATTTTTATTGTAATAAAAAAAGTAAGGTTTGGCAATTATGAATGAAAAATGATATCTGATAAATGTCCACCACGACCACAGTAACAGATGTCGATTCTTTCATCAAAGTTTTTAATCACTTTTTGACAAAATGGTTTTCTATTTCGTTAATCACCTCACGATTTTTGAGTTTTAAGGCTGCAATAGATCCGATTGGCTCCGTATAGACTCTGTCTTTAACACAACCCCATAAAAAATAATCCAGCGGTGTTCAATCACATGATCGAGCTGGCCACTTAACGGCTGAAAATTATACGATCGGGAAATTTGGTTTGCAATAAGTTCATGGTTTCAATGGCTGTGTGACTTGTTGAAACCACATGTTAGTGATATCCATATCATCAATAATAGGCCTCAATAAAATTGAATTGTTAACATCTCTGGATAGCGTAATCCATTGACCGTAACCGCATTTCCAGCAATGCCAACGGCATAAGGATTTACAAAACAACGTTCTTGTCATTGACTTATAATTTTATGGACGTCGGGTCCGCGCTAAGAAGTGTCCGAACTTATAGGGCGTTAAAATCGTATACAGAGCATCATTCACGCTTTAGTCTTCGTTTTTTCGACTGACAGCGAAGCAAGCAAAATTAGACAGTACTGCGATGACATTACAATTTAAATTCAACGTTTTAGCTTTTTCATACTCCTTTACATGTCACTACGTTTAAATAGGTTGACTTGGGACATTTTTTTCGTGGTTTTTGTTTTAGACCCGTCGTCCATTTATTTGTAAGTCAATGGTTCTTGTTGAAAAACCCATTACAACTATAGTGTAATTGTCACCTTCATGTCGCAATATATCAGTGGTAGTGCACTGATACATAAGTTGACAAGTCTCATGTGCCTATAATTTCACCAGGCTTGTGAAAGAGTTCGTCATGGTAAGTACTGCCACCTTACCTATTTTTTCCGCCAAGCAGAAATGTCAGTATTACTGCGTTCTGGTTTTAAAGGGTAACCCCCCGTTCACACGGCATTGCACTGCACGTTCTTTTGCAGTACTCGATGTGCGTTTGTACATGTGTGCGTTTCTTGCAGGACAAACACCGTGTGAACGGTTCTATATCTAATGTATGCGTCACTGTTTATTCGATTCGGGTTTATACTGTAAACAACGTGCAGTACAAAGCCGTGTGAACGGGGTGCAAGGGTGCTGGTGAAATTACTGGCACATGGGACTAATCAACTTATGTATCAGGGTGACGGGCGCAGTGGCAGTACCCCTCAGAGTTTTGCGATTTAAACTGTTATGGACAGGCGTGTCGCTTACCATTATTTGAATTCGAGTTTGAAATCTCGAACTGAAAACCAAACATTTACCTCTCATGCAGGAGGTCTCAAGGTCGGTTCCTAGCGGAACTCCTGCAATACAGAACCTTCTCGTAATTACGTACAGAGTTATTTCCCAATTAGGTATCGATTCAACGAAGGAAACAATTAATAGACTTAGGCATTACTTCGAGGAAA